TAAATTTTTCTCAGAAAAAATCCACACAGAAATGAGCTCTTTAAAGGACATGAAAAGTGTTGAGCCAAAAAACAAAAAATTTGATAAAAATTCACGAACCTGGAGAAAAATGCAAGTTTCTTCACTTTGATTATTTTGACGAGAGCCTGATTCCACCACGCTGCCTCACATATTCAAATGTTAATTTAAGTTTTTTCTTTCAACTGATCCAATGCTAAGCCTATTATAGTTTCTTTGCTCAAACGCTCAACTGTCAACCGCCCATCAGACAACACAAATTTCTTGATTTTCAACACATTCTCTTCTGTTGTTGCTGTAACTGGGCGACCATCACGGCCGTCATCTTCAATGTCCACGAATCCGCATTGGAATTTTTTTACACCAAAATTTTATTACAGCATAGGATGGGCAATCCGTTCCACGGCACGCATCTCCATAAAAATATCCTGTAGTTGCTTGCCGTGCAAGAACTAAAACTTCATTACTGCCCTGAGCTCAATTTTCTCCATTTTTATGTTGAAACTGGAGAACAACATACCCCCATTCACTTACAGTGCGCTGGTGGTAAAACCAGTAATCGGAAATTCCCCCAAACTCACGTGCATTCCAGGAAGATGATTGTTGGCTTTCACCACGAATTTCAGTTTTCTAATTTTATTCCATCGTGGTCAGGTATAAAAAAACTTTTGGCATGCCCCTCCTATGTGTGAGTATGTGCGCGTTTGTGCGCAAGCTTGTGTGTGTGTGTGTGTGTGTGTGCGCGTGTGTGTGTGTGTGCTCGTGCGGGCTCGCCCTAGTGTCCATGATATTTCGTTTACTGAAATATTTACGGAACCACCAGTTTGCACGGCTGCCCTATGGCGTGACATTCTGTCTGTCTGTCCCCTGCGACCATCTCCTCAATAATAATATTATGACAGCACAGTACATTCAAGGCGCAAAATAAAAAAAATTGATGTCTCTTGTTCCCACTAGCATTTTGTTCTGGGCAATGAGTCGCTTTAGCAAAATCCGGATAATAAATTATGTTAGTACACCTCTTCGGTAAATACATAATATGTAATATGTTATGTACAGGTTCAGCAAATGGGTTAGAACCACTTTGACTAACAGGTTAGCATCACTTCAACAAATGCGAGGCCCCACTTTGGCAAACGGGTCAGGAAAAAGAATTAAAGAGTCTAAATTCGGACAATGTTATATTGAGGATTATCCGATTATCCGGATATTTATCCGGATTTTGCCCACCTCTACGCCACGCGCACGTTGGAGATTTTGAACCCTCTGGCTCTTAGCCAAGGGAACGTAATTAATTATCTTCAAGCTCTGTTCAAAGCCCATTACATTATTATTATCATTAATCTCGCTTAACCCTATCCGTACGCCATGGTGTCATTTTGTACCCGCGGGGTTGTATTCTTCACAATTTAGAATACTTCTAGATCTAGATCTAGCACGAAGATCTCCTAGAAACTTTTAGTATTTCTCAAAAAATTATTTAGACAGACTGCTAAGCAAAGCGTACGGGATGCAGTTGCGAGCGCCGTAAAAACCGTACTAAAAGACTAAAAACGTACGGATTGAATAAACCAGTAAATTTCCGCTTTGGAAAGTGGTGGCACAGAGTTCCCCACGTCGTATAGATACGATAGTAAAACGCGACGTGCGGATAGGGTTAACAAAGCAAGGCGTGGTTTAGTTATAACTAATGGGGAAAAGGGGGGGGGGGGGTTGTTATTACACATACTTCTTAAGACATGAATTACGCAGCCTTTTTTATAATTTTGCTTTGATTTATATATTTATTTGTTTTGTTTGTTCTTTGTATCAGCTGGTGCTTTGATTACCTTCTATATCTTTTTGTATCTTCTTCAATTTGAAAGTGTGTCTTTCTGTCTGTTTTGTCTGTCTACCCATCTATGTATCTGTCTTTTTTCGTTGTCACCCTCCTTTTCTTTTATATTTCTCTCTATCTCTCTCTATCC